CATAATTGAATATTATAGAAAATAACAAAATGTCTTAGATTTTCTCTTAAAATGTCCTAGTTTTATTATTACAGCCTATATAGCACAATTTTAAACTTCCCTAAGCTAATCTAAAACGTATTTGGCTTTGATTAAATCAATAAATGTATAACATCACGTTATCCTGTGTATAACATCACGTCATCCTGTGTATAACATCACATCATCCTGTGTATAACATCACCTCATCCTGTGTATAACATTACCTCATCCTGTGTATAACATCTGCTCATCCTGTGTAAAAAATCACCTCATCTTGTGTATAACATCTGCTCACCTCAAGTATAACATCACCTCATCCTGTGTATAACATTACCTCATCCTGTATATAACATCTGCTCATCCTGTGTAAAAAATCACCTCATCTTGTGTATAACATCTGCTCACCTCAAGTATAACATCACCCCATCCTGTGTATAACATCTGATCATCCTGTGTATAACATCTGATCATCCTGTGTATAACATCTGATCATCATGTGTATAACATCTGCTCATCCTGTTTATCACATAAATGCAAAAATATAAGCTAATTATTTAAAGCCTCAAGTACAACAATACTATTTAACATTTATATTTAACACTTCTATCTAGCACATTGATTTTTCACCTCTATTTAACGCCTAGGTAATAAGGAAACTAAGTTAAAAATTAAAACAAAACACGACAATAAATTTTTTTACTTGACTTTTCAGCGCTAAATGTTCTTTATTTCCTATGTTCAATATAATCTATCACAACCTGTCCGTTTGTATATACTCTATCGCAACCTATCCTGTTGTATATAATGTATAGTGACCTGTCCTGTTGTATATAATCTATCGCAACTTGTCTTGTTGTATGTCATCGATAGCAACCTGTTCTGTTGTATATAATCTATCACCTTATGTACCCCACTCCCCAACCTTTCCATGTTATTCTTTTCCCCATCTGAGCAGCTTATGTCGCATTTCCTTTTTACTTAATGATTATAGAATGTCATGTGAATAGGGACGATGTGAACGCCAGGTGAATAGGGACTATGTGAACGCCAGGTGAATAGGGACTATGTGAACGCCAGGTGAATAGGTACTATGTGAACGCCAGGTGAATAGGGACTATGTGAACGCCATGTGAATTAGGGACTATGTGAACGCCAGGTGAATAAGGACTATGTGAACGCCAGGTGAATAGGGACTATGTGAAGCCCATGTGAATTAGGGACTATGTGAACGCCAGGTGAATAGGGACTATGTGAACGCCAGGTGAATAGGGACTATGTGAACGCCATGTGAATAGGGACTATGTGAACGCCAGGTGAATAGGCACTATGTGAACGCCAGGTGAATAGGGACTATGTGAATGCCATGTCAATATAGTCTTTCGGCGTCGTTTCGGTTTCGGCCGAAACAGAAAAGTTAACTTTCGGTTAATTTTTGGTTTGAGTTAAAGGGTTTGAGGCTTTCGGTCGCCTACCAGCAGTTAGAATGTCACTCTGTCGACCGTTTATTTCATATTCAAAAGTGCTCGACTTTTGTAGTCTTGTATGCTATAAGACTAATCCTCTGCGAGCAATGCTCACAGCTGCATGATGACCGGCTTGTGCAATATTTCAAAAATAAAATTTCATTTAGGCTGAGGCAATGGTAACTAGTTTTATCGAAAGAAAATCTCATACAAATAACATTCGGTCAGTCATTTATTGAAAATCCCTGTTTTAGATATCAACAACACGTAAACATAGCTCATCTTAAATACTGTCCTAACAATACCACAATGATCTTCTTACAAGGCAAATATTATTAAGCTGTCAATAAGTTCTGCGGTCCGCAAATGGGGGTCCGTGGACCAGCATAGGTACGCACAAGTGAATATTTATGTTTGCATCATATAAAATGTTATTAAATGTGCTATCAGTCCCTGATGCCATGAGAAACGAGGCCAATGGTCAGAAAATTTAAACACTTTAGTTGAACCTCTGCGTTTATGAATATTCTATATCACCGTCTTATTGTCCTACATATGTTATTTCAATTTAATTTGTCGCTCCAGCGCTGTTTAAAACTGGAATGTCATTCTCAGACTTTTGTCTTTCAACTACCATTTAAATGGCATCAAAGTATTGCATTGTCTTTCAACTACCATTTAAATGGCATCAAAGTATTGAATTGTCTTTCAACTACCATTTAAATGGCATCCAAGTATTGAATTGTCTTTCAACTACCATTTAAATGGCATCAAAGTATTGAATTGTCTTTCAACTACCATTTAAATGGCATCCAAGTATTGCATTGTCTTTCGACTACCATTTAAATGGCATCAAAGTATTGCATTGTCTTTCAACTACCATTTAAATGGCATCAAAGTATTGAATTGTCTTTCAACTACCATTTAAATGGCATCAAAGTATTGAATTGTCTTTCAACTACCATTTAAATGGCATCCAAGTATTGCATTGTCTTTCGACTACCATTTAAATGGCATCAAAGTATTGAATTGTCTTTCAACTACCATTTAAATGGGATCCAAGTATTGCATTGTCTTTCAACTACCATTTAAATGGCATCCAAGTATTGTATTGTCTTTCAACTACCATTTAAATGGCATCAAAGTATTGTATTGTCTTTTAACTACCATTTAAATGGCATCCAAGTATTGTATTGTCTTTCAACTACCATTTAAATGGCATCAAAGTATTGCATTGTCTTTCAACTACCATTTAAATGGCATCAAAGCATTGCATTGTCTTTCAACTACCATTTAAATGGCATCAAAGTATTGCATTGTCTTTCAACTACCATTTAAATGGCATCAAAGTATTGCATTGTCTTTCAACTACCATTTAAATGGCATCAACGTATTGCATTGTCTTTCAACTACCATTTAAATGGCATCAAAGTATTGCATTGTCTTTCAACTACCATTTAAATGGCATCAAAGTTTTAAATTGTCTTTCAACTACCATTTAAATGGCATCAAAGTATTGCATTGTTTTTCAACTACCATTTAAATGGCATCAAAGTATTGAATTGTCTTTCAACTACCATTTAAATGGCATCCAAGTATTGAATTGTCTTTCAACTACCATTTAAATGGCATCAAAGTATTGCATTGTCTTTCAACTACCATTTAAATGGCATCAAAGTATTGCATTGTCTTTCAACTACCATTTAAATGGCATCAAAGTATTGCATTGTCTTTCAACTACCATTTAAATGGCATCAAAGTATTGAATTGTCTTTCAACTACCATTTAAATGGCATCCAAGTATTGAATTGTCTTTCAACTACCATTTAAATGGCATCAAAGTATTGCATTGTCTTTCAACTACCATTTAAATGGCATCAAAGTATTGCATTGTCTTTCAACTACCATTTAAATGGCATCAAAGTATTGCATTGTCTTTCAACTACCATTTAAATGGCATCAAAGTATTAAATTGTCTTTCAACTACCATTTAAATGGCATCAAAGTATTGCATTGTTTTTCAACTACCATTTAAATGGCATCAAAGTATTGAATTGTCTTTCAACTACCATTTAAATGGCATCCAAGTATTGAATTGTCTTTCAACTACCATTTAAATGGCATCAAAGTATTGCATTGTCTTTCAACTACCATTTAAATGGCAATAAAGTATTGCATTGTCTTTCAACTACCATTTAAATGGCATCAAAGTATTGCATTGTCTTTCAACTACCATTTAAATGGCATCAAAGTATTGCATTGTCTTTCAACTACCATTTAAATGGCATCAAAGTATTGCATTGTCTTTCAACTACCATTTAAATGGCATCAAAGTATTGCATTGTCTTTCAACTACCATTTAAATGGCATCAAAGTATTGCATTGTCTTTCAACTACCATTTAAATGGCATCAAAGTTTTAAATTGTCTTTCAACTACCATTTAAATGGCATCAAAGTATTGCATTGTTTTTCAACTACCATTTAAATGGCATCAAAGTATTGAATTGTCTTTCAACTACCATTTAAATGGCATCAAAGTATTGAATTGTCTTTCAACTACCACTTAAATGGCGTCCAAGTATTGCATTGTCTTTCAACTACCATTTAAATGGCATCAAAGTATTGAATTGTCTTTCGACTACCATTTAAATGGCATCCAAGTATTGCATTGTCTTTCAACTACCATTTAAATGGCATCCAAGTATTGAATTGTCTTTCAACTACCATTTAAATGGCATCAAAGTATTGAATTGTCTTTCAACTACCATTTAAATGGCATCAAAGTATTGAATTGTCTTTCAACTACCATTTAAATGGCATCAAAGTATTGCATTGTCTTTCAACTACCATTTAAATGGCATCAAAGTATTGCATTGTTTTTCAACTACCATTTAAATGGCATCAAAGTATTGCATTGTCTTTCAACTACCATTTAAATGGCATCAAAGTATTGCATTGCCTTTCGACTACCATTTAAATGGCATCAAAGTATTGCATTGCCTTTCGACTACCATTTAAATGTCATAAAAGTATTGTATTTTTTTTCAACTTCAAATCAATTGTCATCAATTATTGTCTTTCAACTATCATACAGGTGTCACCAATTAATTTGTCTAAATAATGTCTTCAATGTTCATTGTATGTATATGATTTCTACTAGCATGTAACATAACATAAAATCTGTCTAGTGCCGAGATTTGTGAAGTAGTTTCTACAGTTGAATGCTGATGACAAATGATGACTTTTTATTGTTGTTTAGTCCACCCATCCGCTCCATTCAAATTATGAGATGTTCCCATCTTAAGAGATTTTTATATCTTTATCAATATTAGGGTGCAGTGGAGACAATAACTTTTCCGTGCCACCTACCAACTGTGCCTAAAATAGAAGAAATGACAGAACCACTGAATGTCACTACGTCTAATGAGGAAGATGTTCCAACGGTTCTTGGATCAGCTGTGACGTCTCAAGAGATTGTAAGTAATGAACAAACGTTGACGATTCTCAAAGTGTTGATGTTTGGGGTGACCCCAGCCATCTCGTTGTTCGGGATCGTCGGAAACATCTTCAGCATCATCATCTTGATCCGACACGGCCTAAATAAATGTTCCAACATTTTGTTGGTAGTTCTGGCGGCCAATGACATCTGCTTCCTGATTGGTTTCAATAGCGTCCCCAACTTCCTGTATGACCTGGGCGGACCAGTTGAGGGCTTCGCATACAACCCACAAGTGGGCTTCTTCCTGTTTATTCTACACCAACTCTTTGAGGTCATGGACTATGGATGTGGTGCCGTGTCCTTGACCTTACCTGTTCTGATCACTTCCGAGAGACTTATTGCCGTGTTCCTGCCCCTTCAGTTCACCCAAATAGTAACACCAAGACGAACCTGGTGTGCTGTCGTCATCATATGCGTCTGCTGGTACGGCTTTTTCATTCATATGTCGTTTTTGGTGACCTTGCAATATGAGTTTAGCCCAGCCTCTAACACGTCCATTGGGCTAATGAGGCGCTCTGACTACTTCAACGACATTATTGAGATTGTCCCAGTTCTGGAGCTGTCTATGTCTTATCTATGTCTCAAGATCCCGCCTGTAGCGACCTTCGTTGGTTGCGTGACGATTGTTATCAAGGTCAAAATGGCGTCCGTGAGGCGGCTGAAAATAACTTCAAAGAGCAATAAGGCGTCGAAGTCAAACCGTACAACAAAGATGTTGTTGGCCGTGTGTACGATGTACACGATGACGTGCGGCGTCATGTCGCTCCCAACATTCCTCCCCCAGTACATGTACTACACCATGACAAGCGACGCCCCATCTAATCTCGGTAGAATCATGTACCAGGTCATGAACCTTGCCCTCTGTATCAATAGTTCTTGGAACTTTATTATTTATGTCGTCATGAACAAGAATTTCAGAAAGACGTATTGGTCGCTTTTTGATAGGAAAAAATCTTAACTCAAATTTTTGTTAGAACGGGATATGTTTGTTAAAATCTTCACAAAAAAGGGATATGTGTAAAAACTAACATACGACTGACAATAAGTGTATGAATAATTTATATTTAAGTGTATAAATCATACTTATTAATCATGAATATATATTTAAATATTATACATTTACAATTGAGGGGAACTTTAATAACATTGAATTTAAAACTAATTTTTTCTTAATTTGATTTTTAGTAAATAAAACATCGAGCAGATTCTTCTTGGCTTAAACAGAGAAAACTGACTACAATTGAAATATGTGTTAACTATTGGAAGCCCGGGAGGGTGGGGGGGGAGTATTAATTATCAATGCACCAATTAAAAAGCAATGAGTATACTACACTTTGAATGCAACAAGTAAAGAAAATGCGCGTTGTAAGCTATCTTTAAACATCGGATACCACTTCCTGCCCCCTACATAACAGTTCCTTAAGAACAGATCGATCTAGACGAATTATTGCCTTTCAGGTAAAGATAAAGATAAATATAAATATAAATATATATATATATATATATATATATATATATATATATATATATATATATATATATATTATATATAACTTAATTTATTCTCCAAAACAGTCAGAATTTATCAGTGGGCTTATCTATTTGTCACATTATCAAATATTTATTTACAATTTAATATGAGTCATAGAGCATATGTAGAGGGGTGTGACACCATTTGTTGGTTTAAAAAACACTTTTAACATGTACTTCATTAAAATTGTCCTTGTCTAAAATGTTAAATTTAATCAGATTTTTGTGTGTGGTTTTTTCCTTTTTTTTTAGCTATTTAATGTGCTAATTTATAATATGTGAATCGTGATCAACGCCGAGTCCAACTGTAGTTTAGACCAATACAAACTGTATGGATTGAATAATGAATAGACGCTATCAAATATGGCTGAATATGATTTTAGCAACTAGCACTTTAGTAGGATTCATAGCTCCTAGCACGTAAGTAGGATTCATAGCTCCTCGCACTTCAGAAGGATTCATAGCACATAGAACTTCAATAATATTCATGGCATCTAGCTCTTCAGTGGGAATCATTGCACGTACGGAAAGTTATGTCAATTTAACACAAACGGCTTACAATATTTCTTATGAACTGACTGCACTCTTTCTACGTGCGGTTAAGTGTTTCCCAAACTTGTTGACATAAACATCGGAAGCAGTGACATGACTTTCTTTGGAGCATTAATTAGCCATCCAGTGAATGAAATACTTTCATTATCATCATCAGTAGCGCTAAAGCCCTGACCTGTTCCACCACATCCATCCGCTCGGATTGATCCATTACTTTCCGCTTCCATGTGTAGACACCCAGCTGACATAAGTCTTTCTCTACATCATCGATCCATCTCAGTCTTGGTCGACGTGTGAGCGGTCAGCCCTTAGGTTTATGCCTGTAGATCACAGGGTTTGCTGCTTCACAAGGCGGCATCATTAAAAGTGTTCTGTCAAGAGCAAACAACCCTTTCTTACAATGTTGCAACTATGGGTGGATCTTCGAGTCACTGATATATCTCTTTGTTTGCACGGATCTGCATCCATCATTGTCTAGCACTGGACCTTATATTGTCCTGGGATATTCTTCCACGTATCATGCAGGCTCTCTGCGTTTTTTGGTAAAGGACAAAGACTCGCTTGCGTAAATTACCACTGGTCTAATTAGACTTGTGTATATAGCTTTCTTTGAGTTCAGTGAGTGATTTTTGCTGCCTTGAAATGGTAGTTTGTTTTTTAATGAAATACTTCAGCTTTTTGTTTATTTATTGCTGTTAAGATTGACCAAAAGTTTAACTAAAGCATGATGGATATTAAAAATATTATGAAATTAATTAAAGGAAAGTAGATGACAACAATTTTTAAGAAATATTGTAACTATTTGTAACATGATTTGTATGGCACATCATCCTTTCAAAAATTAAACTATGTATTTGATCAAATGTGTTAGTTAATAAGAATTGCACACCATCTACTCAACGATCAGACTATGTATTTAATCAAATGTGTTAGTTAATAAGAATTGCACACCATCTTCTTCTTCTATATCTAAGGGCCCACGATCAATTTATTGATCATTTTGGCTCCTATGCATGTAGATGGGATTTGCAATGTTTCTGTTACTGGTGGTGATGAGGATATCATGCACTAGGGGTTTGAAGGCTGGAGGCAATAGACACAAATGTGTCTAGTGTTGTCGCCTCAACTGTTCCTTTTGAAAGATTGTTCCAGTCCCTGATTGTCTTGGGCAGGAATGAGCAGCTCCTATACTGGCTTCTTGCTGGTAGGAGCCTGAATTGCCTGTCATGGCCTCGTCGCTGTCTATGGGGGAGAGGGACGAGTTTCTGTTTAATACTGGAACAGTGGACCAGCCCATTATTTATCTTGTACATCATGGAGAGCCTGGATTGTCGTCGTCGTTTCTCCAATGGTGACCAGCCTAGTGTTTCTAGCATGCTGCCAACACTAGAGGTATTCCTGTAGCGGTTTAGGACACAGCGAGCCGCCCGTCGCTGGACCGCCTCCAATATGTCAATGCTCTTCTGGGTAAATGGGTCCCAGACTGAAGATGCATAATCTAAATTCGGACGGATAAAGGCTTTATATGCTCTTTCTTTCACAAAGGAGTTGCCAATCTTTAGATTTCGCCTTAAGAACCCTAGGGTTCTACTCAACGATCAGACTATGTATTTGATCAGATGTGTAAATAAAAAAGTCACCAAGCTGTACGTGGTATAAGGCCAAGGTACAAACAATTTCAATTCATTTTTTTAAATGACAATTTATGTACGCCCTCATCTTATCGACCAGGTTCTAATGAACCACACTTTCAATTCCCAGTTGTATGACGTGTCAATACATCCTAAACCTAAACTCACGCCATCTTTGCTTTTCTACATTTAAAAAACTCTCGGAGCCTTTCACAAGCGCGTGTTGATTTAGCAGGGACAGTAAACATGGCCGCCACTTCGGGAGAACCGTTATGCAAATGAGATCAATAGCTAGCAACGTCACAGATCAAAGTGCTGTCGTCTGCGCTAAACGATCAAGTTCCCAGTCATTTTGTGGAGTTGATGACTTTGGGGGTTATCCAGGGGAGACAAGCGCTGCATCCAATGAACTCCTGAGTGACGAGCTGACCATACTCGTCCTTCAGATATTAATCTATGGCGTCATGCCAACTATTTCTTTGTTCGGCTTTGTCGGGAACGTCTTCAGTGTGCTCATCCTGAGGTCACATGGTCTACACAAGAGTTCTAACATCATCCTCATGACCCTGGCCATCAGCGACATCATCTTCCTCGTTGGTTTCAACAGCGTCCCCAAACTTCTCTACGACGTGGTCGGGGACGCTGGCATGTACACCTACAGTTATGACGTGTCCTACCGCCTGTAAATCCTGTACCACATCTTCAATGTCTTAGACTACGCGTCTTTAGGGGTGTCCATCACCCTCCCCATGATGATTACCCTTGAGAGGCTCACGGCCGTTTTTCTGCCTCTTAAATTTCCCCACATTGTAACCCCTCAAATAACGTGGACGCTAATGGTCATCAGCATCTCTTCTGCATCTCTTCTGGTACTCATTCTTTATTCATATGACATTTTTGTTGGAATTCAGTTTCGAGTTTGACCCTCGGGTTAACATGACCGTTGGGCTCATCAAAAGGTCCAGCTACCACCACCACCCCGTGAGGACCATTCAGATCCTGGAAGAACTCATGTCGTACTTGATGATGAAGATCCCAGCGATAGCGACTTTGGCTGGAAGCCTGGTTATTGGGTTCAAGATCAAAATGGTGTCCCTCCGGAGAAAGAAGTTAACGTCAAAGAAATGGCGGCCGAGTTCTTCCGCTCACACCACCAAAGTCTTGCTTGGCGTCTGCACCATGTTCACAGTCACGAGTGCTATTATGCCCCTGCCCACCTTCATCCCCCAGTATATGTACTACACCGTGACCAGTGTTCTCCTTCTAATCTCAGCAAGATCATGTACCACGTGATGAACTTGGTCGTCTGCATGAACTGTTCATCTAATTTTATCATCTACGTCATTCTCAACCAGAACTTTCGGGTCACTTTCAGGCGACTAATTCGGTCGTTCTCGAGATCATTTTCAGACAACTCATTCAGCCGTGCTTAAGATCATTTTCAGACAATTCATTCATAAGTGCTACAGATCATTTTGAGACAACTCATTCAGAAGTGCTTAAGATCATTTTCAGACAATTCAATCAGCCGTGCATAAGATCATTTTCAGACAACTCATTCAGAAGTGCTTAAGATCATTTTCAAACAACTCATTCAGCCGTGCTTAAGATCATTTTCAGACAACTCATTCAGAAGTGCTTAAGATCATTTTGAGACAAATCATTCAGAAGTGCGTAAGATCATTTTCAGACAATTCATTCAGAAGTGCTTAACTTTATTTTCAGACAACTCATTCAGAAGTGCTTAAGATCATTTTCAAACAACTCATTCAGCCGTGCTTAAGATCATTTTCAGACAACTCATTTAGAAGTGCTGTAGATCATTTTCAGACAACTTATTCAGCCGTGCTTAAGATCATTGTCAGACAACTCATGCAGAAGTGGTTAAGATCATTTTCAGATCATTTGAACAGAGCACATTCTTCAAATAAAGGGCTGTAACTCCACCTACTCATCGATAAAATTTACAAAGTTTCTTCCCTTGTTAGGTTGTGCCAGCATGATAGAACCTGGCCAAACTCTATATCTAATTAGTGATTGGTTAAAATAGAGGCCGAGAGTGAAGATATTTCTGGTGTGGAGAGCGAAGATCGTTCAAAGTTATAGATTGAAGATCTTTCTGGCAGTCTATTTTAGCTTTATATGTGTAATGATATTTCGATTCTAGAACAACCCTGCTATGCTAATACTACTTGATTAAAGTAGCGGCCTCTTTCAATGACTTCTCTTTAATATAAAAATGGCG